GTGATGCTGGGGGTTAGAGGGGTGCTGGGGGGGGGGGCACTAATGCATTTTGGTCACGGCTGGGTGCTAGCTGCTTGCCGTGTCCTTGCACTGGAAGCGCGTGGGGCAGCGGCTGTTGGGGTTCCTGTTGGTGGGTGCGTGTCCCGTGCCAGCCCTGGTGCGTGTCCCCCAACTCGGGTACGGGGCTGGGACCCACTGCAGCCCAGGAGCCACTGTGTCCCCCCCACCACGGGGCTGGTGCATGGTGGGGGGGCAGCTTGGAGCCCCAGGCTGGGCCAGGCACTGAGGGATGTGCCCACTCACTGCTGAGCTGGCAAGGCAGGACAAAAAGTGGTGCAGGATTGTATCCAAAGGAGTTTAATGAGAAAGGCCCCAGGAGTCCGTGCGCAGGAGCGATGTTCCTGGCAGAGCGCGGTGGTCCCAGCGCTGCCCCTCGCCCGCGGGGTGCTGCTGTTGGGCTGGGATGAGGGGGGGGTGCTGGCGCCGGGCGGCAGCTATGTGTAGAGCCGGATGGTGCCGTCAGCGCCGGAGGAGAAGACCCAGGGTTGGGTGGGGTGGAAGAGCACATCGAGGACACCCAGGTCCAATGTCATCGCGTGGCCCTTCAGCACCTTCACGGGCACCAGCAATGGGTTCTGCAGCAGGTCGCTGTGGTGGAGGAAGACAGGTCAGGACGGGGCTTGGGCTCCCTCCCTGGGGTACCCCTCCCGGAGTCACCCCACAAACGCTGCACCCCCCGATGCACAGGGCAACACCGTACCCTCCCCACCCAGCAGCCCCTCCAGGGCTTTGCCACGCTGCTGCTTGCCGGAGAAGGGACGCAACGCTGAACCCCTGTGGCTTCCCCCCGCCCCCCCACGTACTTGTAGACCATGCCGTGGCAAACGATGACGGTCCCGTCGTCCGAGCCCGAGGCGAAGAGCGGGTAGTGCTTGTGGAAGGCCACGCTCCGTAATGCTTTCTTGTGGTGCCTGCAATGACAGCGGGCGCGATGTCAGGGCAAGGGGGGGACGCTCTGCTCCTGTCCTGACCCTTGGCTGGGGCACCTGGGTCTGCGCACGGCCAGGCTTTACGGACCCCAAGCTCTGCTGTGAATGACCGTATGTACGGGAGGGGAGAGGGCAGCTGGGACAGACTGGGACCCACTGTGGGCAGCTCAAACTAGCCCAGCACCTCCTGCCATAGAGGCTTTGCCTGCCCCGGCAGAGCTGTGGTCACCGTCCCCCACTCTGACACAGAAGAGCCGTGAGACACCAACACACTGGGCAGGGATGGTTGCTCCTGGCACAGCCCCAACGGGCTCCATCCTGCTGCCAGGTCCCCGGAGAGAAAACAGCCCCGGGAAGGGGCCCCGTGGGGTTTGGGGGGGGCTGCGGGCAGGTTAATGGGGAGCAGGCAGAGGCTGGCCCCAGCTCCGGGGCTCACCGCAGCAGCTGGTAGGGTCTGGTGGAGAGGTCCAGGTCGAACCAGGCCAGCTTGCTGTCATAGCTGCCGCAGATGATGTTGTCGCCTGTGAGAGGGAACAGGGTATTACTGGGGTTGCCAGTGAACCCCACGGTGTCCTGCCTGCACCCCAGGCAGCCTGGCTGAGGGGGATGCTCCATACTGGCTTACAAGACCCGGTAGCTCCTTGGGGAACACGCAGGCCACATACCTCCAGGGTGGATGGCCATGCTGGACACCCACTTGCAGTTTGTCATCAGCTTCTTGGTGAGCTCCTGCTTGAGAAGGTTGTAGACGCGGACGTAGCGCTGGGTGGCCACGAAGAAGTAGGGCCGGATGGGGTGGAAGAGCACGCACTGCACCAGCCCCTTGCTCTTGCGGAAGGGGTTCTGGCTCCAGCGCTTGCTGGTCTGGTGAATCAGCACTTGCATGTTGCTGTTGTCCGACACGACGCTGGCGAAGTAGTCGCCTTTGCCGTGCCAGGTCACCTGCTTCACGGCCTGCGGAGAGCGGGGAGGGGGACACGGGTCAGACCCATCGGTGGGACTGCTCCATGCCTTGCCAGGGAGTCACCCACCACCCCGGGGAGCAGCCCCCCGGCCAGCCTGGCTCCCACAGGGCCCCCCCCGCCCCGTCCCTACCTTGCTGTGCTGAACAACCAGCCGGATGCCTTTGCTGTGCTCTTCCATGGTGGCCGTCACCCACTGCACGGGCTGGACCCGCTCCTCCTCCGGTGCCACGTAGGACTCGAGTAGCTGGTCGGTGGCCCCGTAGAGCAGCTTGTCCCCGAGGCAGGGGTTCACCAGCAGCACCGACTGATCCCTGCGGCGTGGGATGAGTGCATGAGTCAGGGCACCACCGAGGAGAGGAAACCCCTGTGGGGCCACGGGATGGCCCTGGCACAGGGCCAGGACCACGGGAAGGGACGTGTGGGACTCTGCAAGCAGTCAGGCCCTTCTGTAGACCAGCAAAGAGAAAAGAGGGAGGATACACGGAGCTCTGTCATAGCCCAAATGCCCCAGGGAGGATGGTGGGGACTGACTGGTTCCTCCACAGAAGAATGAGGGCCACCAAACGAAGCGGGAGGCAAGGTGACAGCGAGCAGAGGTGGCTTTGCACACCAGAGCGTGGCCATCCTCGCTGCTGGGGCTGCCACGAGTTTATAGGTGCTTCTTGGAGGCTGGACAGGCTTTGGGGAAAGAACTCCAGGAACCGCTCCAGCTCAGGGAGCAGCTGGCTGGAGGATGGCGAAAGCCACGCTGGGACACTCACACGCAGATGGCCACCAGGCAGATGGTGGGGTTGGGGTTCCAGGCAACGCTCTTCACCACGCCGCCCACGGGCAGGGTCTTCATGCAGCGAGCCGTGCACACCTCCCAGAACCGCACCGTGCAGTCATCCGAGCCTGCGGGACAGGACAGGGTTGGCCAGGGCCAGGTACAGTCCGCCCTCCCCCCCACCAGGGACACCGTGCAGGGGACTGCCACGGCTTGGCTCAGCAGCACAGGGCTCCAGGGCACGTCCCCAAGCCGTAGGGGAGAGCAGCCCCGCACTGACCCTGCTTGCAGCCTTTGGGGAGCAGCGAGAGGAATGCGGCAGTGCCCGCGATTCCCCAGCAGCTTCTCTGCACGGCAGCAGCTCCAGCACCACCAAGGCGAGACGTGACCGGGGGCTGCTGCCGAGAGAACAGGCCCCCACCCCGCTCCCTCCAGCACTGCGTCTCTGCCCGTGGTCCCTCTCCCGACGCGCAGGGCTCCCGGCGCAGCTGCCGTGCTGGCAGCATGCCTGGCTCGGCACGGCTCGGCACGGCACAGGCCCGTCTAGCTGCGAGATGCAGGCAGGCAGCTCCCCGGGCAGGCTTTTCTGCGGGCAGGCACGGCGGGAGCAGGTAGCCGGCGGTGTGCGCGTGTCCCCGCAGGTCGGGTTATTTTTAACGCCTGATCTCAGCCACTTTCCCAGCCCGGGGCCAGGAATTCCACGTTGTGCAACCAACCGACACCGCGGCCACCAGGAGCTGGCAGCCTGGAAACTCCAGCGCTATAAAAAGCACATGTGCCTTTGTGGGCTGTTAAACTGCCATCTGCTCTCAATCTCCAGCCTCCGGCCGGCCGCGCAGGGCTCTGCCGTTCGCTCCTCCAGCCTCACTTTCTCCACTGCTGAGCGGGAGGGACGCAGGCTCCTGGGTGGGGTCCCGAGAGCGGCTGGAAAAACCCACGGAGCCTTCTGGAGGCAAGGCGCCTTGCCGCAGGCTGGGGGGACGCACGCTGCCAGCGTGGGCAGCCACAGGACTCCCAGGGACTGCTCTTCTCCTCCTGCCCAGGCTTCTCCCACGGCCGTGCACCGGTGGAGCACGCTGGCAGGCTCCCCGGCAGCCCCAGCTTTCACGCACGTACAGGGCGGCAGTCCCAAGCCCCATGCTGGCATGGGGTGACGCCGGGACCAGCTCCGGCGCTGGGGCCAGGCTAGTGGCACCCGGCGCGTCTGGGATGCCCCGGTCTGGGGAGTGAAGCCTTACCTGACACCAGCCACTGCCCGCTGGGAGAGATGCTGAGGCAACGCACCAGGCTGGTGTGCCCACGGTAGACCTGGGGAAGGAGACGGGAGGTGGGTGAGGGTCCCACGTAGCCCAGCGGCTCCTCTGTGGGGACCTCCCCACACTGCCCCGGGTTCAGCAAGGAGGGAGGGAAAGGGGGCCTGGGGTCATTTGTCTCTAGAGATCTGTGTGCTGCCGACCCCCCCAGCCGTGGCATGACCAGACCCGGGGCCCTGCTCTTTTCCTGGGGCAGGTCCTCTGCTCTGCCCATCCGCAATTGTGCTGATCCCAGTCCTGCCTCACCTGCTGCAGGCAGGACCCCATCGCTGCCTGATTCTGCCCAACACGGGCCGCAGGGCTGGTGGTCTCCCTCTGGGGCTAACAGGCAGCAGCTGTGCCCAGAACAGCCATTATGGGTGCGTGGGCACACCTGGTCTCACCAGGACTGGCTTGAGCACAGCTCACTGCCACGGGCATGCAGGGCAGCCCCCCCTCCCCGGCTCCGTGCATCCACTTACCAGGGCCTGGGTGGTCGGGAAGGGCTGCAGGTCCCGCGGCTTCGGCAGCTTGGGGATCAGGTCCTCTGGGTCCACGTTGACCTGTGAGACGCAGGCGGTGAGGCACAACCAGGCAGAACCTCGGCTCCCCCAGCACTGGTGCTGGTGCCCTGCGTGCATGAGCTGTACAGCCCTGCAGCCCCAGGGCAGGCTCCGGCTGGAAAGCCCAGGCTCAAGGCTCTGAGCCAGAGGGAGATCACAGGACAGCACTTTTGTAAGCATGGGCACGGCCCTCATCACAGCTCAGGAGCTCTGCGGCGAGCTGGGACTGGCACTGCGGGTAGGTGGGGGGCAAGAGCCCTTTAGGAGCAGCAGTTTGTGCCCCAGAGCATCGCGGTCCCCTGACCAGCTGGGTGGCATCAAGGCATACGCAGGATCAAGCAGAGACCAGTCTGAAACTTTCCCAGGACACCCAGGTGGTGGGGCGGGAGAAGCCCTTACCCGCATTTTCCTCTGGCGTGGGCAGAGGTAGAGGTCCAGGCAGCGCTCGAAGCGCTCGTGGATGAAGCGGGAGTAGGCAGGCACTGCCCGCAGGCACCGGTACTGCTGGGGCACGAAGTTCAGCTTCCTCTCGGCTGGCTCCTGCTGCTCCCAGGCTAGCTTCTGCGGGACGGAGGGGACCCCGGGTCAGCAGGGCTGGCAGGGACCCCGGATGGCGAGGTGCCCCGGCACATCCCCTCTCCGAGCCCAGCAAAAACCATCCTCGAGCTGGTTTCTCGCTGGCCAGCGCCGTGCTGCTCCGTGAGACACCGCACTTACCCCTCTCTGCCCCAGCACCCCCCTGTCTGCCTCCAGCCAAGCCCTCCTCAGCCTGCCAGGATTTTGCTGCCTGTTTTTCCCCCCCGCCCAGCCCCTGGGCTGAGCGAGCCAGCATGAACCCCGCACCAGGAGACGCCCGCAGTAGTTTAGTTTGGAGGCTGTACCTTGCTGTCACAGGGACACCCTGCTCCCTGGGAGGTAGCCCCACTTCTTCTGTTTTGATTCAGGGGGCTGAGGAACCTTTGCTTTCATTTTCCTTGCAAGGTCTCGACTCATCTCGACACAATGTGGTCTCTAGGGTGTCCCTCCGAGGCGCAACACTTTCCCCACTGCCCTCCCCGGCACAGCACAGCCCCCCCTCGGGTCCCGGCACCTACTGAGCCCCCCAGGTGCCTGGAGCTTTCCCTTGCAGGTCCTGGCCGCGCACGGCCCCCCCTTACCTCCTCCTCGCTGAGCAGGTACTCGGGCGGGGGGTTGTACGACTCCTCGTGCCCAGGCAGCTTCATCTTGGGGGCTGGGACGTGCATCTTGTGACGGCCCAGAATGGAGTTGGGATCTTCGTGGGCCCAGAGGTCGTAGTATGTAGGTGTGTCGTCCTTGGGCTTACGGGGCTTGATCCAGCCCATCTTGATGGCGTGGACTAGCTTGGAGACCTGTGGGGCAGGGAGAGGTCAATCCCAGGAGCCACAGGACTCCGGAGGCTTGGGGAGGAGGAGGCGTAGGATGTGAGGAAGGAAACAAATGCCTCTAGGCACAGCTCTGAAGCCCTGGGAGCCCGACAGGGCTGCACAGGACCGGAGGACTTGGCACGGGTTTACAAGTGGACATGAACTGCTGCAGCAGGAACAGTCGTGGGGGTGGATGAGCCATGGCAGGGACTGCCGGACAGGAGAGCAGCCGCAGGCATCAGCCTTCAGCGCTGTAGTCTGCGGTGGGGGTTGCAGTCGCAGGCAGAGCTCGGCTTTGTGCTCCCAGCTCGCCCAAGGTGCTGTCAGACCTCTCACCTTCTCCTTCTCGATGAGGGAAGGGATGAAGCTCCGCTTGTCCGCTGGGCGATTCGTCACCGGGTGGATCATGACCTCGTGGGTGAAGAAGTCAACAGCCGGCTGCAGAGACACAGACCCGAGTCACCCTGCCCGTCCTGGGGCAACCCAGCACTCGGAGCAAGCGCAGAGGGTGTGCCATGACCCTACCTCGTAGGGATTGAAGTGGACATCCCCAAACTGCCCTTTCTGGAGCCGATGCACCAGGTCCACCTGCTCGTCTGTCAGCTTTATGTCTGCACCCGTCATCTTGTCCTGGACTGTTCGCCTGCAGGGAACCGAACAAGGCAGGGTTAGGGCTGGATGGCAGCGTCCATCCCTGACGATGGTACGAGCCCCATGACCATGAAGCCCTGAGCTCCCAAAGCCACACACAAGGAGTCACAACGGGAGACCTTGAGCTCTCCAGCTTATGCTCTACAGCCCCAGGCTCCAGGGAGTCAGGGTGTTTCAAGCCCTGATGTGGACGGACACACACTTCACGCTGTGCACCGAGGCGGCCCTCCCCTCCCCGCTCACCAGTAGTCAGGGTTCTCCATCTTCTCCAGGAACATGTCCAGCTCGTCCTTGTTCCGGATGGGCTTGTAGATCTTCTTGCCCTCCAGGTTGTAGCCGATGTGCGGGAAGTCCTGGTACCACTCCATGGGGATGTTGCCCACCGTGTTGCGAATGTCCTGGAGGGGAGCAGAGGGAAGTGGTGTGAGGGCAGGGGACACCGTTTCAAGCAGATGCACCCCTGGGTGTCGGGGGGAGGTGGTAAAAAAGGAGAGAGGGGGTAGGAAAGCTGTGTGATGTCCATCCCCCTGCCCAGGCACACACGCTGCCAGCGGCCAGGGTGGCACAGGGCTGGAGATGGGTGCACCGGGATGGTGGAGGCTGGGAGGGCAATGACCGAACCCCAAAGCTGCAGTGAGCTGAGTGGGGTCGGACCTCCAACGCCAGTGCCCTGCACGACCACGGGCTGCGCTTCTTAGGGGATGTACGGCCCCTTCCTCTGTGCTCGGGGCAGAGGATGCAAGCGTCAAGGTAAGCAGCGCCTGGGGCTCATTTACTGCAGCAGGAAGGGTTTAAAAAACCTTTAAATGGCTCGATGAACGGTGAAATGCTGGTGCACGGCGTCGGCTGCAGCTGGGCTTCGGCTGCCTGCCGGAGCACGCGGGCAGGGGGCTGCGGGCAGTCGGTCAGCAGCACCGCGGCTGAGCGCATTCCTGCATCCATCCCGCAGGCAGGAGTGCGCCTCACATTTTCCGATCGCCAGCTGCCAGGCCTGCTCCCTCCCCCTGCACACGGACGCTCGCGCCCGGCCGGCTGCTGCCTTTTTTGGCTGCCCGTACCGGGAGCAGGCAGCTGCCCGCAAGGCACCGGTGGCTTCGTCCCTTCCCTTGGTTCCACGGCCACCGGGGTCTGCGTGTGGCCACGAGTCCCATGGCTCTGGGGCAGCAGCAGCCCCTGGCATCACGGTGCGCTGGTGAAACGGGCCAGCTGGCACCACAGGCACGTTTTGGAAATGCCGCCGGGCTCTGCGTCTCCTGTCCCTGATGATGCTGGCATGGAGCACGAGAGACGGCTGCCCTGGTCCCCACCAGCAGCTCGCGTGGGGACACGCTGCGGAGGTGAGCTGTCCCTGACCTCCTGCGGCCCGTGGACCGACGGAGGCTGGGGGAGATGGAGGAAACGCCAGAGCTGCTCCGCTTCCCTTCACGAGAGGCTGGCGAAGGGAACCAGCCCCTGAGGGGGGCTCCGGCTCCCCGGCGGGACCTGCTGCCCCAGCACAGGGCTCGGAGAGGAGCAGCAAAGACCAAGAGTCCCCGAAGAGCTCATCTGGGCACCGGGGATGGCTCCAGCTGGGGTCTGATGCCAAGCCCACAGGCGGGGAGGGGGTGGACGGGGAGATTTCGCTCTGTACCCCCACCGGACTGGAGCGAGGGGACGTTTGGCAAAGGGAAAGGTGGGCGATTGAAACCCAGTAGCGAAAGCTCTCATGCTCAGCAGCAGAAGCGCTTGCGGCCATGGCAAGTCACCAAAACACCGAGGCAGTCCCGGTGGCAATCAGGCGCTTCCGTGGGCAACGCAGACCTCCAAACTCCTTGCCACTGACAGCAAACCCTCGGCGTTACTTGGGGACGGAGCCCCTGCCGCCATGCGAGGGCAGGATGCGACCCGCCGGCGGGGGGAAAGGCAGACGCCGGGCGGGTGGTCCTGCCTTGGCCCCCAGCACCAGCCCCTGCTCCTCGCCCGCCCCGGCTGTATCCTGCCCCTCGGGGCTGGCAGGGTCGGGCAGGAGTGGGGAGCGAGGGCCCTCCGGCCTCTCCCAGCTGCCCTCACATTGCAGAATGAGGAGACCCCGTCCCCAATTACAGCCACAGAGGGACGAAGGTGTGAAGGCGACCTGTGCCCTGTACACCCCGCAGTCAGGGGTCACCCTCGCCCCGCGGCACCATCTGGTCCCCATAAACACTTGCAAACGGCGCGGAGCCTCCCACGGAAAGGTGCCTGGAGCCCCGGGAAGGCAGAGCCGGGCGAGAGCCCCAGGGGCCAAGCCGGACCCATCCATCACTCTCCAAGCAGACGTCAGCGCAGGATGTGCGCAGCCCCCGCGGGGATCTGGGCAGGAATTTTCCCCTCGGCATCAGCAAGGGGCTGGCCTGGTCCAGGGATGCTGCCGCTGCGCTTGGCTGGAGGCTGCGGGCTGCTGGGGCATGGCCGAGACCCCAGGGAATTCCAGGACCTCCTGGGACAGAGCTGGGAGAGCTCAGCTAAGGCTCGTGCAGATGGACAGACACAGGGCTGTCAGCTCTGGAAGCCTCACCCCATGGCCGGCAGCAGGAAAGCCATTATCCGAGACACCTCCGGGAGCCCGGCACAGGCTGCTCTGGGATGCCC